CGGAGCCCCAGCCCCATCCTGTGCCCCAGCCCCAGCCTGAAGCCCAGGCCCAGCCTGAGCCCGAGCCCCAGCCCCAGCCCGAGCCCGAGCCCCATCCTGTGCCCCAGGCCCAGCCCCATCCTGAGCCCCAGCCGCAGTCTGAGCCCCAGCACAGCATGGGCCGTTGGTTACTGTGAGTCTGTTGACATTGTGCACATGCGTGAAGGTGTGCTTGTACCCAGTAAGGATGATAACACGAGCTGACACGTGGCCCCTTTGTGTCCAGCCTCGCTCTGGCCTCTAGGTGTAATGATTCATCTAATCTTCACGCTAACCCTGTGAGGGAGGTGCTGTTGGTGCAGAGAGTTAAAGGACCGGCTCGAAGTTGCACAGCCTGTACGAGGCAGAGCTGGGATTCATCCCACACGCTGGTGTGCCTGTGTCTGTGCAGGAGGGCTTGGGAGAGCGGGTGTATGGCATTCACAGGCCAGGTGGGTGCTCTGGCCAGTGCGCACAGGGCAGGGGAGGAGGCAGGAAGCAGCACTTCTTGGAGGCCCTTACCAGAAGGCCCTGAAGGAGTGATGAGTGGGCACATTCCAGGTGGCACCAGCAGGTCCTGGGAAGGCAGCATCAGCAGGTGCTGAGGGCTCGTGCTTCGACCCTTAACCCTGAGAGCCACCCCCTTAAAACCACGTCAGGTTGTGTTATACGGAGGCAAAACCCCGCGGCCTCCGTCACTCTCAGTGAGGGTGAAACCCACCTGCCCTCTCCCCTCTGCCATCTCCCCTCCGGCCCCACCCTGCCCACTCCCTGACCAGCTGGCCCTGCCCCTGCATCCCTTCCTCATCGCTGAGGTCTCAGCACAGCCACCTCTGCAGAAGGGACCCCTCACCCGCTTTCCCTCCACGCTGTCCCGTGGCTGCTCAGTCGTTGGTGTAGTGCCGTGCACACTCCCTGCGTGTATGCTGCGTCTTGCGAGGATGTCTGTGCACACGTGTGGGGACACGACCCTGCTCTCCAGCATGCCAGACAGAACATTGCCCAGGCGCCCATCGGTGTTGGTTGAGTGAGGGGAGCGTTGGCTGGGGGTGGGCAAGACCCTGCAGCGTGAGGCCTCCAGGTGCAGACAGTCCGTGGGCACATGGGTGGGCAGCACTGCACTGCTGACCAGGCAGCCACCCTTCCCTACTAACGGGCCCCACTTTTTCCAGCGCTGGGCAGAGGCCCCTTGACCTGGGTGGGAGGGTGCAGCCTCCTCTACCCCAGAAGGGAACGGCCCTTTGCCAGTGGCTGGTCCCGGAGCGGCGTGTGGCCTAGAGTCCTGGCCAGTCCGTGAGGGCTGGCCCATCCCGCCTCCCTCCTCAGAAAGGCATGTGCAGATGATGCTGTGGCCACGCAGCCACCTCATGACAAGCGGTGGCAGAATGCAGAGAGGCCAGCCCCTCCCAACATCCTGCAGCTGCCAAACCCGTGTCTTCAGCTGCCTCCCTCCAGAGTGCGTGACGTGAGAAAATAAACTGCTTATCTGAGCCACTGCCGTTGGGTGTTCCATCCCTTGCTGGATACGCACGTGGAGCTGGGGTGGCAGGTGTGTAGATGTGTGCCCAGGGCACCCCAGGGGGAGAGCAGCAGACCCCCTCAGCCTTCTCTCCTGGTTTTGCTATGATGCGTTTGTGTGCAGAAAGGCAGCTTTATCGTAGTTCTAGCTGCTTTAGCCCCGTGTCCTCTCCTCATGCAAGCTCTCATGCATATGTGTATACACAACACGCGCAAGGCATGCACGCTCACACGTGTAATACACACGTGCATGCATGCACTTGCATGAACACACACACACCCATATGTGCATGCACATGCACACCTGTATGTACATGCAGGCACATGCATGCACACACGTATGCACACACACATATGCACATAGTTTTCCAGACCCCAGACACTGGCCATAATGTCCCCAGCACTTTCCTTTCTGCTACTGTTGATGAAAACAATAGCACCTTTTTTGTGAGTGGCGTAGTGGTTAACAGCTATGGCTGCTAACCAACAGGTCACCAGTTTGAATCCACCAGGCGCTCCTTGGAAACCCTATGGGGCAGTTCTACTCTGTCCTACAGGGTCGCTATGAGTTGGAACCGACTCAACAACAATGGGTTAGGCCAAGCCACTGGCCAGCCTGGTGGCTGTCCATCCTCCTGGTAACCCTGCGAAGCCCTGGTTGAGGCGCTGAGTGTGTTCTGGAAGAGCAGAGCAAATAAACACGTCGGTGCTGGTGTTGTGGTTTCCACGCAGGTGTGTGAGGAAGCAACAGAGGAGCCCACGTGTCCAGAGGCAGGGCGGTCAAGGCTCTTTCCAGGAGACCTGCCCCCCTCGCAGACACGCTCACCTGCCAGAAGGGCAGGAGGGAAAGCAAAGGGAACGCTTCTGTGGACTACTGTGTTTTAAGAAGCCTCTTCTCTGAATGTCTTTAGTTACTAAAGTGATGTGCACTCAGGGCAACAAGGACGCCAGTCTCGGGCCAGGCGGCAGCGCTCTTAACTGGAGGTGTGCACCTCATGTCATTCCCTGTGCCTGAACAATCGATACGCCTTCAGCACAGGGACCTCGCTCATTGTTGCCTCCGCAATCCGGGCCTGGTGCAGGGAGCCCCCAGCCCGTCTCTGCAGCCCCTCTGGGTGAGGAAAGAGACCCCCTCCTGGGGCAGCACAGCCTTGCAGGCACAGATGCAACGCCCCACCCGGCTAGGCGCCTGGCAGCACAGAAGGCACCCCTGGGCCCCTCGGCCAGGCAGTGCCAAGGAAGGCATCCCAGGGGGAGAGGGTGGCTGGCGGGCAGGCCTGACCCAGGACTCCTCGTGGGCTGATGGCAACTGTAACAATGAGAACGCCCCCAGAAGTGGACAAACAGGTGGTGGTGGGGACCCCATGGAGCATTTCGTCACAGCAGAACGGCCAGGGCCGGGCTGGGGGCAGGAACACTGCCCATCCCTCCAAGGAGGTTGTACCTCATCTTTAGCACCCCTTGTCCTGCCCTCCTCTGGGCCTTGGGGGTTACCAGCACCCTCCAATAAACTCCCCTTTGCTGGAGTTTGCCAGAGTCGCAAACCCCAAGTGGTACAGAAGGACATGTAAATGCTGACACATCACACGCCTGATCCCAGCAAATGTGAGACGTGGTCCTGCTGTCAGAGCCGAGCCTGGGGACAGCAGACACAGATGAGCTCAGTGCACACGCTGAGGGCTCAGCCCCGGGGTCCCCCCAGCTCACCCCCAGGGGATATGTCCCCACTCCACTGCCTCCCAGTGTGAACTGGACAAGCCGGTCCTTACTGGGGACTCCTGTGGAAGGAGCCCAGGGATCCAGGTGGCAGGTGGGGCTGAGGGTCCTGGCTCTGCTGCCCCCCTCAGCTGACCGCAGGCTGGACACACTGAGCGAGGGTCAGCCTCCCACAGTAAACTCCCCGTGGCCAGGGGCTGCTGCTGGGTGGGATCATGTACCCCAGGGTGTGGGGAGGGGGCTGAACAGGCAGCTTCCAGAAGAGAGCAGGGAGCGCCAGGCTCCTGTGCCAGGTAGGCACAAGGCTGGCTTCTCCTCCAAATACGCACAAAGCAAAAGAGAAACAAAACCAAACCGTCTTTTAGTCATCAAGAGAGTTGAGCCGGCTTTTGGGGCCAAATTGTTTTGTCCTCTCTTCTGCAAAGTTGTGTGTGAAAGAGCGTCTCTTTTCCACGGATGGAGACAAGGAAACACCCATACCAGGTGCACTGACGGGGATGTACAAGCAAGCCCAGGTTCATGCAAGACAGGACCAGGCGCTGTGTTGCAGCTTCTTTTCCAATTCCGTAAAATGTGACTCCGGAGGGGAAGGGGAGATGCCCGACGAGGCCCCAGGGAGACTCTTCCTCATCAGTCCCCCCACATCTGCACACCAGCTGAGGCAGCTCAGAGCCGGACTCCAGGATGGGGTGTCTGCTCCCCTGCTCTGCTCAGCACTTTCCTGAAAGTCCCCTCTTGGGGGTGCTACTTGCTTCCCCACCACCCACTCCCTGGGGGGCCCTTTGAGCCCCAATCTAGTGGGCGGTGGGTCTCCCGTCAGGACCCGGGCCCGGGTCTGCCCTCTGTGCCTCCTGAACTGCATGAGAAGACATCAGACCACCACTCAGGTCAGACCAATCAGCAGAGCCTGGTGGGGTCTCAGACCCCTCTGACCCGGTGGGTGGTCCTGAGGACTCGCTTCTTCACCCCTCCCCACCCCTACAAGGGCAGGGAGCCCATACCCCCTTGGGACAGCCCTGAACCGTGAGGTCAACAGTCTGGGCAAATGCACCTGCTGCCCATCCTTCAGGGAGGGAAGGGCAACCTTGAGCGTGTGCTTTGTACTGGCTTCTCCTCCTTCCCTGCCCTGGACCCTGTCTCAGCTCTACTTTGCAGGGGAGGGAGTCCTAAGCAAAGACAGTGGGGCTTCTGCAAAACCAGCTGCTGCCCCTTTGCCTCTCATCCTTTGCCCCTTCCTCCTGCCTGGATTTTGAGCACGATGGTCAGAACACAGCAGCCCTCATGCAGTCGTGAGGACAGAGGTCACTCACTCAGGATGCAGGATGAGGAGCTGCGTCCTCCACATCACTCATCAGCTCAACACCACTGTTTCTCAGCTGGCCTGCCTTTGAGTGAAGAGCTGTGCGATTTCTGTTTGCGGCAGCATTGAGCTTTCCTGAGCTCACCGTTTCAACTCAACAGACCTTCACTGGGACCAGATGTCCCCCAGTGCTGTGCGGGCCACAGCTCCGGGGAGAGGACCCGTCTCAGGGCTAAGCCCGGGGTGGCGCCTAGTCTTTAGGATGTCAGGGAAACATTCCTCACTTGTTTCCTCTGGCTTACCATGGGGAGCTTTGAAAAGGCCTGTTTTCAGATCCAAGTAGATTGTTTTCATGCCCCTCCCACAGATCTGAGCCTGGAGGGCAAAGGTGGTGCCAGCGCCCCTCCTCCCCCACACCCCTTCCTGCCTGCATACTGCCTTGATGGGGCCTCTTCCTCTTCGCGCAGTTTCCCTGCCAGTACATCAAGTGACCCTGAGGACGGTCCCTGAGGACGCTGCCCACACAGCACCTGACCCAGCACTGGAGGGGAGCCTTCCTTAGCGACCTGCACAACGCGTCATCCTGGGGCCTCAGTCCTGGCGTGGACACCCCCTGAGGAACAGCCAGGATCACACCAAGCAGAGTTTATTGAGGCCAGTGGGCAGGGCCCACATACAGCATGGGGCGGGTACAGGCGCACTGGACCGGGGTGCTAGCAGCGCAAAGCGGACGGGCCTGGCCTGGGGGCACCCTCCTCTAGCAGGTCTGGGGGCCTGGGGTAGGCATCAAGAGCCACTCCTAGTCCTCCAGGGCTTTTCTGGGGAACCCTCCCTGCTTCCCCCTGAGTTCCAAGTGGGGCAGGTGGGGGCCTCTCCTTGTCTCTGTGGTCAAGCACAGGGTGATCCCTAGAGAGTCTCTATAAAAATTAAAATTCCTTTATAAATTATGGGGGGCAGGGGGCCATTTGCGAGCCGACGTCAGCAGCCACCAGAGCCTCGCCTTCCCCCACAGCCCCAGTTTTGCTCCCAAGGCGACCCCTGAGGGCAGAGGGCAGGTGTACAGGCACAGAGAGGGCCCAGATGGACACACAAAAAAAAACAGGGGGTCCGAGATCAAGGGGCAGACAGGGACGAGGTGACACAGAAAGGCTAGGTCAGAGGAAAAGAGTGGGGTAAGGGAACACGGCAGAGCCGGGGTCTCCTCTCCAGCGGCCCCCAAAGGCCATGTCTGGGGAACAAGGATGAGGAAGGAGTTTCCAGTGTAGTCCAGAGACCCCCACGAACCTAAGGTCCCACACGCCCCTGATTCAGTCCTTGCCAAAGCCACTGAGGCCTCGAGACACCTGCAGCCGAGCTGCGCCTGCAGCAGGTGAGGCAGGGTGAAGGAGGGCAGCGGCCGAGGCTACTCCAGGTAGATGTCCTCTGTGGGGCAGGCGTACTCCAGGTGCTCTTGGTAGTACTCCAGGAAGGCGCGGCTGCGGGTGGAGGGTGGTGCCGTCAAAGCCTCCCCCACTCTCCCAGCCCCCTGGCCCAACCCTGCTACCTCACCCCACTGCCCTCTCCTGACCCCCCTGCCAGAGCTGCTCCTGCCTGCGCCAACCTTCACCCCCAGTCCTACTTCTCCTGGTCCCACTTGAGTCTCCCTACCCCCACCCTGGCCCCACTGCTCCACCATTTCTCCCGCCCGTAGCCCCTCTGCACCCCCGCCCAGCTCACCCCACGCTCTGCGCCACAGGCCGCATGGACTCCTGGGAGACAAACACGTGGCAGGCGAAGCGACTCAGCAGCGGGTGCTTAGTGATGAAGCCGAAATAGCTGGGGGCGGGGCGTAGGGGGGTCAGAGGCTCCGCCTCTCAGGCCGCCCCCCAGTGGTCAGGAGAAACAGAAGGCTTGGGAAGAGGGCAGGGGGAGGGGTCGCCGGACTTCAGGGTGCCAGCGGGCCCAGATCTCCTAGTAGGAGTTGGGGATCTTTCCTGGATTGCATACGGGTGTCCAGCAGGGACTGGGATCTGACACCCAGTGCATCGACCACGGGCTCACCCGCCGGAGGGTCCCTCCCTTGCCAGCGCCTCCCCACCCCCACTCCCCGGACCACCTGCGCGGCCCACCGGGGTGCAAGTCCCCGCTGCGCTTTCTGGCCGTGCCCTGCTTACTCACGCGTCCTGGGCACGCCCTGCCCACCTCTGGGCCCGCAAGCTCGCAGCTATTTCAGGGCCCAGCTCCTAAAACCCTCTTGGATGTGCTAAGCCTCCACCCCAGACCTGCGTGTTTGTGCATTTCTGGAACCTGCCCTCCCTCCTCTCATGGAAGACACGATTACAAATGACTGCACAGGGAGGTCAGCTCTTTCAGCGTGAGACCCCCTGGCCCTGGGGCCTGTCTTCCCACCAGATGGAGCCCATGTGACTGTCGCTGCCAGAAACGGAGCTCAGGTGTCCCTGAACATACCGCAGGGCCTCACCTGACTTCTGTGAATCCATTAAAAACCACCTCTCGATAAAGCTACCCAGGGGAAAAGTCCCCGTCTCACATGACTTCTAGAAATGATTACAAGCGCTGACCCTACATGCCAGGCACCGTCCTAAGCACTTTGTCCTTAGTGTGTAAACCCACCACGCCCTGGGAGGGAGACTGTGCCGTAGAGACGGGGCCTAAGCTCAGAGAGGCTCAGTGACTGGCCTTAGGACACACAGCCAGTCAGCAGGGCCGGGGTCTGATGTCAACGCCACTATTCATCTGAACATCACACCCAGCACGTGCCCCAACCTGCCACCTGTTTAAAAACAAAATGAGTTAGCCCCTCCCTCACTTAGCACTCTCTCTGCTTCCCCTCCTCATGTGAGGGGCTTGCTGGGTACTGGACCTCACAGCACCTGCCTGCTCCGGACCCAGGGCCAGAGAGGCTGAGGAAGGCTGGGCATGACAAGTGGTTCCTCACCCACTGCCCCATCTCTGTCACCAAGCCCCACACCTGATTATCCTTCCCCTGCGGCAGCTGGTCCTTGTCAGGTCCACACCTGAGCCAGGGGCATGTAGCGCCCTTTGCTTGGGAAATAGGCCTCTTCTTCCTCCCTGTGGTGGCAATGCCGCCCACTGTCCAGCTGGACCAGGGCAGCCCCCACTGTCTGGTCTGAGCCCAGGTGCTATCCTGCCTTCCCCTACCTCTCAGCAGCATCTAACCATCTGGCTCTCCACGGAGCACAGCCGAGCCTGGGGTCTCTCCGCCACAGAAGTGCCCAAATGACACGTGCTGCCCTCACCATCTGTCTCAGCCTCTGCTTGCCCACGGGGACACCGCCTCCTGCTCTCCATCAGGCCTGCTCACGGCTCCAGTCACCTCCCTGTTCCAGACTGGCCTCTCTCCGACACTCTGAGCCAGATGCTGACTGCCACGTCTAGACCTGGACACTCTGTTCCCTCTCTCAGCATGTGACGCCACCCGCTGTCCACCCCCCAGGTCAACCTCCACCTCCAGGCCACCCCAAGTCCTGTGTCCCGTTTCCCAATGTCTCCTGCATCTGCATGCTTCCCCCCACCGCACTGCCCTTGGATGACCCTGTGACCAAGGCAGCACCTTGCCAAACAGCAGCTGGCACCGGCTATCGGCTGGCCCCTGGGCTGCACCACACTCTTGCATGGAGCGCCTCGGGGCCCACTGCTGATGGGGTTAGTACAAGCTTCTTGGCACAAACGGCCTAGGTCTCTCCTGATACCTTCATCCTGATTACAGCTGCCTCCCTGACGCCCCGCAGCAGAGCACCCCACAGGCCTTTTGCTCAGCTGCCCCTCCACCTCAACTGGCGTTCGAGGATCAGCGGGGGTCTCCAGGAGAACTGGCCGCATCTTCCCCAGGCCTGCTCAGCAGTGCCCTACAGACACCGTTGGATGGCCCAGCGACATCTTCACATACTGTCTGTGTCCGGCTCCCACCCAGGCGAGATGTGAGCCTCATCTAACTATTTTCCCAGAGCCCAGCGCAGAGCAGGGGTCCAGTGCATGGAGCCGAGTGAGCACGGGGCTGGGGGGTGGGGGGAATGGGCGGGGCACGCACAGGAGGCCCTCGGGGTTGGGCGGGCTCGGAAGGTGGGCTCTCACCAGCTGTTGCGGGGGTGGCAGCCGCAGAAGGAGATGTTCTTCATCTGGAAGAAGTGGCTGCAGCGCTCAAACTAGAGCACAGGTGAGCAGACGTGCCACAGTCAGACGGGGTGGAGGCCAGGCCCCTTCCAGGCCCACCAACCTGTCCCGCAGGCTGACCCTCTTGCCATGCTCCTAGCCCCCCACATCCCCTCCTGTGCCCCAGTTCCCCAGTCCTCACCTCAGGTCCACCTCCAGTCAGACTCAGCTTGACCCCCCGAAGGGAGATCTCAAGGTCACAGGAGGCAGGAGGGCGCAGGTGGACGGTCAGCTTCCGGGCTGTGGCAATCTGGGAGGAAGAGGGCGGTCTCAAGGGGCTCACGGGGCCTTGTTCCCTCCCTTGGTGGAACTGTGCCTGTCACTTTTAAGTTATGTTTGAAGACATGGCACTGCGGCCCGTAATACGGTTCCGGAGGTGAGACACGCGGCCCTACCCGCCTCCTCAGACCCTCCAGCCAGTGCTCCCTTGGCTGAGATGGGTGCTGGGAATACCCTCCACCCCCAACTCACTGCCTGGCCCCCGGGGGCTCAGTGAGCCCTGGAGGCAGGCCCGGTCTGTCTGCCCCCTGGTCTGTCTGTCCCCTCCTCCCTCTAGCCACACTCCCGGGGCCTGCAGATAGGCTGGTGCTCATTCACGCCCAGAGGAATGAATGAATGAATGAATGAACAAAGGGCTCAGGGCTGGGAGAGCTGGACTTGTTCTTCAAACAGGAACAGGACAGGCTGAAGGGCAGGAGGAGCTGACAGAGGATGGGGTCTACTGAACGGGGCCAAGGAGCCCTGGGTGATGGGGCCAGCTGCAAAGTCCTGCCAGGCCTGTCTGCTCAGCCTCTGAGTCAGGATGGCGGGGGACAGGGGGCACTTCCTAAGCTGCCTCCTTGGCACCCCCCGATCCCTGCCTGGAGCCACCAGGGGCTATAGCCAGCCTGCAGGGCTGGTGTGGCCCACCTCATGGCCTCTCCACGCTCAGCCTCACTCAGCCCCCTTGCAGGCCCCCTTGCAGAGCCCCCCAGACTGACCTTCTGCATGGCTGCACACAGGATGCCGTTGCCCTGGTGACAGGGCACCTCCACGGAGCCCAGGAACTGCACATCGAATCGGTCCACCCAGCAGGGACTTCGCTTGCTCCCTGCAGAGGCACACAAGGCCCAGGTCAGGGGCGGTGGGGGGGGCTGGGGTGACAGCTGCCCCTCCAGGACAGGGCCCTACCCAGCAGGTCCTTGCCAGGGCCGGGCACTGCATGTGCGTAGAAGGCAGGGAAGATTCCTCGCTCCCCTGTCCTCATGTTGAAGCCACGGAACCAGAAGTCGTCCTCCTCGGCCTCCACCAGCACCGGGTCATCCACGTCCAGCTCCAGCTCGTCCGGATGACGAGGGATGAACCTGAGGTCAGAGTTGGAGGTGACAGGTCACCCAGGAGAGGGCGGGGCTGGATAAGTGGTACCCTCCCCCCCACCCAGGTCCCACAGTGTCTGGAGGGCTGCGCTTCCCAGTGGCTGGAGCGAGGGGGCAGCTGTACCTGAAGACCGCCCGGTGGGTCTGTTCCCGCTCTTCGCCATTCACCAAGCAGGAGAAAAGGCCAAAGGACTCAGTGCCTGAGACAGAGATGAAGGAGACGGAGGCGGGAGACAAACAGAGATGGGGAGGACACTACCTGAAGGTCTGGGCTGGGGCCAGGCTCCCCATCTGCCCCACCAGGTCTGGTGTCTGTATCCTAAGACGGGTACAGAGCAGGCCTCCCCACCCCACTCCCCACCCAAATGGGGTCTGAAGAAGCCTGAGGCCCATGTTCTGGGCGAGAGGGCAGCACCGGCCTTGACCAGGGGCCACCCACAGGCTGCCCTGGGTGCTTTGGGGGACCAGTGGAGCCCAGGGAGCCTACACAGAGGGGACCACCCCTCTTCCCCCACCTCCCACTCACTGGAGGATCGAGATGTGCTGTTGACAAAGACGTTGAGGAACTTCTTGGAGAAAGTGAGGTCTGGGCTGTCCGGGGAGGCGTCCTCCGGGTCCCCACCTCTGCTGCTGCCCAGCAGCCCAGCCCCCGCCTCCTCCTCGCTGGCCTCACCTCCGCTGTCCTCGCTGTCCTCGCCAAGGCCGGCGCAGCGCCGCAGGCTCACCAGCTCCAGCTGCGTGTGCTCGTCCACCACCAGCGTGTACTTGACCGCATCGTATACCAGAGAGGCATCCCGCGGCGCTGCGGGGCCCGCAGCCCTGCCCCCGGGCGGCCCTGCGCCGTCCTCGGCGTCCTCCTCCTCGTCTTCCTCCTCCGAACAGGCGGCGGAGCGGGCGCGGCCCGGGCGGGCCGCACGGCCCACCGCAGCCCACAGCGGCGTGATGGTGTCCCGCGTGGGGTTGCTAAGGATGAGGCAGGGCCCGGGCTGCCCTGGGCCGGGCCGGGTGGGTGCAGGGGGAGCAGGCGGCGGCGGCCCGCACAGCGTCTCCATGTCCACCAGCTCCACACCGACCTGTGCCACTGCCTCGGCGGCCTCGGTGTCCCCACCGGCCGGCGACGCGGGCTCCCCGGGCAGGCGCGGCGATAGGCACTGGCCGGGGCAGCGGATGGGCGAGGAGCCCTCGGAGATCATGCGGCTCACCAGGTTGCTGAGCAGCCAGGGCGAATCGGCATCCTCGCTGAGGTCGGGTTCCGACTCGGACCCGGACTCGTACTCGCTGTTGATGTCGTCGGGGCCCACGGGCAGGAAGGCGGGGCGGCGCGGGGGCTCGCACGGGGGCTCGCGTTCGGGCTCCGGCTCCGAGGCTGGCGACGAGGCCTCCTCGATGGAGTTGGTGAGGTGCGAAGAGCGGCCGCTGCTGCTGCTGCCGCCGTCGCTGCTCAGCTCCAGCTCCGTCTCCGAGATGGACGAGATCATGCGGCCCAGGCGCGAGGCGCCCGCGTCCTCCGAGTCGGAGCCCGGCGTCGACAGCTCCTGGCTGCTGCGCCGGCCTCCGCGGCCCCCACTCGAGTGGCTCCCCAGGTCGGCCTCGATGCCGGGGTCCGAGGAGGGCGAGGCCCCGCCTGGCGCCGCGGGGTCCTCAGGCCGGTTCCCTTCGCAGTCGCAGCCCGGGTGCGCCGGGGACTGTCGCCCGTAGGGACCCGCATCCGTGAGCGGGAGGGCGCCTGGAGGCTCTGTGAGGTGAGGGGGGAGGGTGGAAGGGGGGTGGAAGGGCGGAAGGTGTCCTTGTCACCACGCCCGAGCCTCCTTCCAGCAGCCAGCCTCGTCGCTTCTCCCCACTCCCCTGTCCTCCATGTCCCCACCATCCGCTCACCTCGGAGGGGCCCCTGGGGGGGCGAGCACAGCAGCGTCTCCTGCCAGGAGGCTGGAGGGGCGGGGTCGGAGCCTCCATTGTTGTTCAGGGAGTCCTGGGGGTTGCGGGGGGCGAAGGGCAGCGCTGAGGAGGGGCTCCAGTCCCCAGGGTGGGAGGAGCTGGCTGCCTGGGGCCCAGAGTCCCAGGGTGGCCGGTGCTGGGGTCCCACCACTCACCTGTGTTCCCAGGGCGGTCAGCTGGAGCGTGGTGGGCCGGTGCTTGTGGGGCTCGCTGGCAGAGGGAGAGGGGATCAAGGCCTCCGGGGCAGGAGCATCTGAGCCAGGGAGATTTCCCTCCTCACCCTCCCCATCTCCCTCCTCCTCTTCTTCATCTTCCTCCTCCTCCTCCTCCTCCTCCTCCTCATTGTCATCGATCATCTCAAACTCCTGGAAGTCATCCTGGAAGGAGCAGATGGGGTGCGGCTGCTCCGAGCGCCCCAGGGTGAGGCTATCCTGCAGGAAAAAGGGCAATGGCAGGCCTGGGCCAGAGTGTGAGGCAGAGCCTCGGGGTCACAAGTCCCAAGAAAGGGACACGCAGGGAGCAATCAGGGAGCGCCGTCTTGGCTCACTCTGCCCACCGCCACCAGTGTGAGCGTCTATAGTGCACAGGGTTCTTGGGAAAGAAGGACGACAGCGGGCCTCATGAATGGTCCTAACCCTTCACCCCTGACCCCCTCTTGCCCCATTCCACACTGACACTGCTTCCTTCTTATTAGCATTTAACAGTTTACAGTGATCGTTCGTGGGATTTGGTCTGTCCCCCACTGTACTATAAGCCCCACGAGGGCAGGGCTGTGTTAATGTTTTGCTCTGGTACCCACAGCCCCCAGAACAGAAGCTGGTGCACAGAGGTCATTCAGTAAACATGGAGTGAGTGAATGAACACATGGAAGGACACAGCCTGTACCAGCCTGGGGGCCTGTGACAACTCCCTCCCCTCCCACCAGCCAGTCCTCCTCAGGGGAAGGCTTCCTCCTCCTCTGGGAAGTCCTCCTGATTTTCCCACTTTCCGTTGGTCCCCTTCCCTTTCATAGCACCTTATGCCCCACCCCCACCCCCACTGGAATCCAGCCCTTGACATGTGGGCAGTCACTGTCCCTTACATGTCTGTCTCCTGAGGGCCAGGGCCACACCTGTCCTGTTCAGCTCCTAGCACCCGGAAGCCCCCAGTGCCTGCCCCATGGCTCGAAAATGTTCTTGAATAAATGAAACCAACCAGAGGTGGAGAGACAGAGAGGTAGAGGAGACGCGGTAGAGGAGACAGGGGTGTGAAAAGGTCCAAGGAGGTGGAGACATGAGGCAGATGGGTGAAGGGGGCTAGAAGGTAGGGGGCAAGACGTGATAACACAGCAGCTGGAGGCGCTAGATCTTTCTGGGAGATGACCTGAGTACTTAGCATTTCGTCTGCAAAGCTGATGCACACCTCCCCTCCCCCAGGCTGCCAGTGATGGGGACCAGGCAAGAACAGCTGGGAAAGGAGCTTCTCCGTTGAGTCTGGGCCCCCAGCAGAGGACCTACTTACTCCCTTAGAAAAAAGGTTTGATATGAGGACGACCCCAGGCCAGGAAGCTAAGGAGGCAGGGGGCAGTAAGAGGAGCTCACGCTTCAAGGCAGAGCTCAGGACCACCGCAAAACTCCAACGGAACTCTAAGCAGAGCCTAACTGAGACCCTCCCTCCATCGGGCTCTGTGGGCATAGCCCATTTCCCACCTTCTCGCAGTGATCTGAGTCGTAGCTGAGGCCGAGGCCACAGTCATCGGTGATTTCAGACAGATCTTCATCATCAAATTCTTCCAGGCTTATGTCCTGAGGAGCCCTGGAGAGGAGCCCAGGGTCAGAGAGCAAGGACAGGGCCTCTGAAACAGCCACCAACCCTGGACTCTGGCTCAGGAGCTGTTCCCGGGGGGAGGCCAAGGGAGAACCCCAGCTTCTGGGGGTCTCCAGAGCCCCCAGCCCCCAGCTCCACAACCTGACATCAACTTGAACCCCAAGCTCTGCTCTCCGGGGATCCCCTCCCCCATTGCACTACACCAGCCCCAGAGGAAGGCACCCTCCTCCTCACTGAGCCAGCAGCTGCTCCTCCCTTCCCGGCTCACTAAGGCCCTCTGGGTCTCACAACCTCGGCCCCAGGTCCCAGGGGAGTCCCACTGCGCAGGGAGGTGGGGGGGGGGAAGGAGGGGGGGAAGGGAACTGAAGCCGCAGCAGCAGGGAGGGGTCAGCTGCTCTCCAGACACAGCCTGGGACACAGCCTGGCGTTTGCCTCCCTCCCGCCCACAGCCTGCACCAAAGTCCAGCCCCCTCCCCACCACGTTCCTTCCCCGCCCCCCAGGTTTGACTTCAGCTCCCTCCCTGGGTCCCACACGGGCCTCCACCGAGAGAGGCCCCGCAGGGCCACAAGGACACTGGGTGCAGAGGGTGTGCCCAGCATCCTACCCACCGGCTGCCCGCGGAGGCTCAGGCCAGGGCCTCAGCCCTTGACAGGTCGGCCACCCAGGCTGGGTGCGGCACCGGGTCTCCGCGGGAAATGGGGGATGGGAGGTGCGACAGTTGCTGGGGTCACTGGGACTAGAGAATGGGGGCAAAAATGGAGAGACCCAAAAGGGGGAAAGCAGGAGGCAGAGGACTCCGGAGGGGGGGAGGGGGCTGGTGTTGGGTCCGCAAAGGCCAGGGATGTGGGGGAAGGTGGGTGGCGGAGGAGTCTGAGGACCGGGCGGAGAGGGGGCTGCAGCAAGGTAAGGGGCCCGCCGAGGCCTGGGGCGCCAAGGTGCGTACCTGCAGCCTGGCGGCGACAGCGAGGGAAAGGTGGAAAGAGAAAACATCTCCGCCCGGTCCGCCATCTTCTTGGGGAAAGGCCTCCCGACGCGGCGGGGGGGCGCGGACGGAGCGACAGCCCCGCGCGCCCTTCGTCGTTCCCGCCCTCGGCCCTCGGCCCTCGGCCCTCCCCAATTCACCTCGTGACACGCCCTGCGACACCCGCCCGCCGGCGCACCTCGCGACCCCGGGCCGGGACACCGCGGCAGCGCGAGCGGCAGCGCCGCAGGGGGAAGGGGAGGAGGAGAGGGAGGATCCGGGCAAGGAGGGAGGGGACTGAGAAGGGCGGGGAGGGGGCGCCGGGAAAGCTGGTTGGCGGAGAGGCTGTGGTTTGACGGAGACTCTGGCTGGGGAAGAATCGGGTGTGCAGCGTTTCTTTCTGCGGGCGGGGGACGGGTACCAGGTGAGAAGCGGATTGGTGGGGGTACCAGGTTCATGGAAAGGAGGATCTGCGGATGGGAAGGGGTGAGGGTGAGAGCCTTTGATAAGGAATCTGCGGTGGGAAGAGGAGGGAGGCGGCGGCCTGGGTCCGCAGACCTCTGGTAACTGGGTTTTCTTTGAAGGGGAGTCTGGCGGAAGCGTGGATGCGGCCCCAGAAGCTGCGCTGACCTCCCAAGGAATCCAGAACAGAAGAGCAGGGTCCGAAGCCTGGATCTGGGGTGCTTCGGGCCTAGACCTAGCAGCACATCAAGGGGATGGAGGAACTGTCCGCCTCCGGGTGCTGATCAGAGCGGGAGGAGCTGTTCCTCCTCCTGGTGCTGATCTGGTTGGACCAAACAGAGGATGCTGATCCGGACTAAACCTGAACTTCCAGTCCACAACATACAATTAGCAGGCTGCACAGAGGTATTGACGGCAGTGGGTGAAGTTACAACCCTGAGGCTATGTTCACTCAGTTACAAAAAAGTGTTCCTTAGGCACCAGCTGGAGCCCTGGTGGCGCAGAGGTTAAGCGTTCAGCTGCTAACCAAAAGGTCAGCAGTTCGAATCCACCAGCTGCTCACCAAAAGGTCAGCAGTTCGAATCCACCAGCTGCTCCTTGGAAACCCTGTGGGGCAGTTCTATTGTGTCCTATAGGGTCGCTGTGAGTCGGAATTGACTCCAGAGCAATTAGGTTCGTTTGGGTTTGCAGCACCAGCTATGTGTCTGGCTCTGTTTAGGGCACCACCATGCTCTGGCTCCACATGGAGCTATGTGGGAGAGTGAAGGGAGTTAGAGTAGGTTAGAGTCAGCTAGTGGCGGAGTCGAGGAAGGGCAGATCAGTGTTGTCAGCAGGGGAGGTAAGGATAGGTGGGGACAGAGCTAATGAGACTCTGTGGAGGGAATATTGTGGGGGAGATTTAGCTAAGAAAGAGGCTGGAGCCTCAACAGCAAGAGTGCAACGAAATTATCTTTTTTTTTTTTTTTTTACGCTTGATGGAAATTATGTGCACTATTTCTTATGGCTAAGTTATTTCTGTGGCAAATTATCTCTGAGGGAAGGATGAGGTACTTGAGTGTTAATGCCTGAAAACCACCTGGGAAGGACCACCTCATTCTTTGGGTGCACAGGATGGCAATCATTCAAGTTCACAGAGAAGGCTTATGGCCATGGGAAGACTGAGCATGCCCTCTTTCATGTCCCAACTGCGATTTGTATGTTATCTCTGCTACAGTGTTTTCCTAAGATTGGCCTTTATTAGGTTACACTTCCTTCCCTGATGACTGAGAGCTGCTGAAGAGCAGAGACACTGCCTTGTCTCTCTGTGAACCCTCAAGCTCCAAGCACAGTGCCTGGCACACAGTAGGTGCTCAGGAAACATGTGAATGAGTGAATGACTAAATGAATGAGAGCCATTATGAGTTCTAACGAGGTCAGGGGCACCAACTCATCATACTCTTTTTTTCAATTTTATGAGCACCGAGGTTCAAGGAGTCTGGACATCTTAACCTCTCCGTTTCCCCAGTAAACTTCACAATCTCCTTAGAATTCACAAAGGGTTTTGGCCTCAACTTTCCATATTTCCTCTTGATCTTGAGTCTTGTCATCAAATGGTTACCTTGGATATTCACGTAAGTGGCCCCTCTAACAACCTTGTTAGTTCTTTAGCTTCTAATCAGCCAATAACTGTTGATTCTCTCAACTCTAGTGACCGCTCCCATAAACAGCCCCCAGGATTTACCTTTACCTGGAATTGCACCAGCCTTGAAATATTATATTCTTCAATCTCACCTCAGATCATAACTCCTGACCACCATCCTCTAGCCCCTCCCCTTCCCTTCCTCTTATCAGATGATTCGCCTTCACTTTACCAAGGGGCTTCCACCTCCAATTTTATCTGTGGAACCTTCCATTTGTCCCCCAGAGCACAGCTGGAAGGTCACCAGCCTTGGAGCCCGAGAGATTGTGGCACCAGTCTTTATCTTGCCACCAACTTTCTCATGTGAGCATTATTTGGTTCCTATGTGCCTCATCAGTACAATCATGTTATGAAGATCACAGAGGTAACTTATGAAGCCCCAGGCAGGACCCTAGCACTTGTTTATGCTCAATGTTCATTCTTTCCCCACTCTTCAAACCTAACTGTAATTGATTGAATGGTGCCCCCCTCAAAAGATATGTCCACTTCTTAATGTCCAGAGCCTATGAATATCACTTTATGAGGCACAAAATGTAACTAAGTTAAGGATCTTGAGAGGAGGAGCTTATCCTGGATTATCTGGGTAGACCCTAAATGCAATCACATGTGTCCCTATTAAGAGAGAGGCAGAAGCCATTTAGAAAGAGGAGAAGAAAAGTGATCACAGAGGCAGATATTGGGTGATGCAGCCACAAGCCAAAGAATGCCTGCACCACCAGAAGCTAGAAGAGGAAACAGGTTCATCCCTAGAGCCTCTGAAGGGAACATGGCCCTCCTGACACCTTGATTTAAGACTTCTGGCCTTTAGAACTGTGAGGGAATAAATTTCTGTCATTTTAGATCACTCAATTGGTGATAATTTGTTAAAGCATTTCCAGGAAACTAACACACTAACCCACTCCACACTGGGGTCCATCTCCTCCCAACCTCTTGAGACTCCGCTCTTTCCAGCTCAGGGATACTCTGGTACAGTGCAATGGATCACTTCTGTGTGGCCTTTCTAGCCATGGTCTTGTAACTCCCATCCAAGTGATTGGGCAGGACTGTGTGATAGGGTAATTGTGGCCCACCAAAAGGACTGGTTAGTTTTGCCATCCCACTGGGCTTGAAATGAGCCACCCCAGAGTTGGGAAGGAGAAGATCCCATCACTACCAAGGAAGAACAACTAGACACCTAGGAGCCAGCACGTCCTTGGACCCAGGTTCCCTGCGCTGTAACACTGAAGGCAGTGAGAAGTGGCAGTAGAGACCCAGCAGCAGAAGATGGCGTGGTAGGTTTCCCAGCCTATGGAGAGAGAAAGCTGAGTGCCTTTGGGAAGAGGCTGAGGGCCAGGGAGAGGTGTTCCTGCAAGTATGGCTGGGAAGAGGCTGTCTTGATTAAAGAACTGTATCCTGAGTGTTCCTGAGCTTGAACTGTAACTGTTACTTCCCTAATAAACACCTTCATTGTGCGTATTGTCTGTGAGTTCTGTGTGGCCACTGCAGTAAATTATCAAACCCAGCAGAGAAGTACAGAGCGCTGTAGGAGCGATGGTTTGTGTCAGAATTAGTAAAGATGGCATGTCTGACCTCTACCTCATAGGAATCAGCCTTGGGCTGTTGATCTTGATTCTCCTTCCCCCTTGTAAAGAGACAGGAGGTAAGACTTCGTCCTCATGCCATTTTTACAGTTGGTATCAGAAATGGAATTCTTTGCAATGGCTCCAGACTCATAGAAGGATGAGACTTTGTAAGAGAATGAATGAAAAGGCTTGGGAAATTAAAGTTTTGATTCTTAGATGGCTACTCTGGTTGTTGTTACATGTAATCACTGAAAATCTTCATCTGGAGTAGCTTATGGCAAGGGCCAAGCCAGTTAAATGGACTGATTGATAGGGGGCCAGCGTCTTCTGGTTTCACCCAAGCCAGAGGCCCAAGGCCATATGGATATGAATGGGAAGCTAGTTAAGGTGTGGAGAAGACAGAATGAAACTGGAATGTTTTAAAAAGGGTTATGCATTTAGGATTACTTGTTTGTCTTAGTTACCTAGTGTTGCTATAACAGAAATACAAGTGGATGGCTTTAACAAAGAGAAATTTATTGTCTCACAGTCTAGGAAGTTATTAGTCTGAGTTCAGGGTGCCAGCTCCAGGGGAAGGCTTTCTTTCTCTGTCGGCTCTGGAGGAAAGTCCTTGTCACCAATCTTCCCCTGGTCTAGAAGCTTCTCAGCACAGAGACCCGGAGTCCAAAGGATGTACTCCCCTTCTGGTTCTTCATTCTAGGTGGCATGAAGTCCTCCTATCCTTCTGCTCACTTGTCTCTTTTATATCTCAAAAGAGATTGACTCAAGATACAACCTAATTTTGTAGATGGAGTCCTGCCTCATTAACATAACTGTCTCTAATCCTGCCTCATTAACATCATAGAGATAGGATTTACAACACATGGGAAAATCACATCAGATGACAAAATGGTGGACAATCACACAATACTGGAATCGTGGCCTAGCCAAGTTGACACACATTTTTGGGGGACATAATTCAATCCATAACAGTGTTTAATTGAATGCACTATGGATATTGAATGTTTCTCCTACATAGAGCTGTAAAACAGACCTAAATGTATGATAAAAATTAATATTGGGTATTATAGATTACAAAGAGCCCTGGTGGTGTGGTGGTTAAGAGCTATGGCTGCTAACTAAAAGATCAGCAGATCAAATCCACCAGCTGCTTCTTGGAAACTCTATGGGACAGTTCTACTCTGTCATATAGGGTCACTACAGGGGCATTATGAGTTGGAATCAACAGGTTTGGTTTTGGTTTGGTTTGTAGATTACAGAGAGCATGTAACTCTGCCTTAAGCCAATACTTGATTGGATATGCTAAAAGGGGAACAAGGCTTTGCCTAGGGAAACAAGGCTCTTTGAATGCAGTAGTGCCTGTATATAGTGTGG